AAGAACCAAGATACTCATGTAATGGTACAAGATCCCAATGATGAATGTAACTGTATTTTATACCTAAAATGTACCAATAAACTTAATGGGAAACAAAAAAAAGGGTAGAGAATGAGAAAGTATGGGCTAGGATATAAAGAAACAAATTACCATATAAATAAAAGATATTTAGACCAACACAAATATACAGAGCCTAAAAAAAAATATTTCAAAAAGAAGAATCTATTTCTTTAAGAGGAAATATTAATTAGGTCAAGGGGACAGAAGTAAAGGATTCTATGAGAAAAAAAGAGAAAACAGATTTTGTTCAGTAGTTCCACTGCCTGCTTTGCAAGCACAAGGTCCTGAGTTCAATCCCTGGTACCAAAAAAAAAAGAGAGAGAGGAAAATATAACACAGTAAGATTATATAAGGAAACTGTGAGGGTGACATCATTTAATATTTCTCCATAAGATCTGTCTATGAAGGTACGTTGGTAAAAAGTAGAATTCAAGATATTTCACATTTCAGGTTCACACCCAATTCAGCATGAAAATGGAATTTGTAAAGAGAAATTTCAACTTCTACACATTATTATGGTTGGGTTAGAATACTAGAGAGCAATGCCTATCTTCTTTTTCATGTAAAAGTGAAGAGTTAGATTCTATAATGTAACACATAATGAAATATCCATAAAAATAGAGTCCCAAGTTAAGAAAATGACTTTGAAATATAAAAAAAGTAATTAATATTTTCAACTCAAAATGACAAGTAAATCATTAGGCTGCAGTTAGAGATTTAAAATATGAGTGTCTGAAATTATGTATGTTGAATAACCAACAGTTACTTAGTCTATCATGTTATTTACACATCTAGTCCTCTAAAGTCTCACCAGTGCCTTCAGGGAGATGATGATCTTGCAACTAGTAGACAAAGTCTACACACAACCATCATTTATTTTATTCTTCCTATTTTCTAGGGTTAATACTCAAATGCAAGCCAAAGCTCTACGATCATATCACTAAGCACATTCAATCTGTGATAATCAAAGCACCATAAATCTTAGGGAATATGAAGATCCTTTATTACCTGATCTCTAAGAAAAGATGGGGGATTTAGAGAAATGAATGCTTTATTAAAATTTGAAGAGCTTAATCAGCATGATTTACTCTAGCTATAGAAAATGGATTATGATAATCATTTCAACTAGAAATACACTGGCATCAGCCACTACCCATCAGAGTTGGCTCTGTTTGTTTAAAAGCACTACAAAACAGGGCCAGGGATTTAGCTCAGTGGTTTCACTGCCTGCTGCGCAAGCACAAGAACCTGAGTTCGATGCCCGGTACCAAAAAAGATGGACTACAAAACAGGTACAAAAAAGTCTTCATTTTCTATGCTTTTAAACATGTCAAGTTTAAAAGGTCAGTAAAGGGTAGAACAAACAAAAATTTTCAGAACTAGATCCCATTCAGGGTTTATTACTGCACTGGCATTACTGGAAAGCCTGGTACAGCCTTGTTACAATTCCCCACTCTGACCACACTGCGGGGAGCCAGGGGGAAGGGGGGGCAGCTCAGAGCAGCATTAAACCCTGGAAAGCAACCAACATGCTGGGTACTGGGAACTACACCAACAGATGGGTCTGAGCAGAACTGACAAAGGTAAGGGAAAATTGAAGGGAATGACAGATGGAAGGTGGAAAAGGCAAACTATTAAAAAACAGCCCAGAAAGTTACACTTTGAAAAGATTATAACCAATGTCAGCTTCACAGAGAGTGTAAATATAGATGCAGTTTCTTAACAAATCCTGACATAATCTAATGGGACAGAGGGTCCTAATCATTATTTTTAAAATTTATTTTAACCAATTCGCTCTTCTTAAATTATCACTAAATAATCAGATCAAGTAATTTAAAAAGAAAATATCAAGTCTCGAATGAAAATGTTTTGCCTGGGAAAATTAATTTTAAATAATTTCTAATTTTCTAATGAGTAATTTCAATCAATAGGTAGAAAGAAAACACTTCTAAGACTTGGTTTGTCATCCTGATCAGTTTCTCAGAAAACCCATGACATGCTCTAAACCATATTCTTTTATCTAGATCTACAATCTACTCTGTAGAGAAAGGCAACTCTGGATAGCTCTTATCAGTTTTAAATTCTGTTATTTAACTGAGCTTATTTAGTGGGTGTCTCTTCCACAGGTCTGTATAGAGTGAGGGTGAGAGGACTCGATCTACTTTAGTAACTGTTGTATGATTGACGGAAAATAGGCCCTCAAAAAGGAATTTAAGACTGAATAACTGAAAAAGAGTACAAGTCCCAGGGGCCAGGGATTTAGCTCAGTGGTTTCGCTGCCTGCTGCGCAAGCCCAAGGACCCAAGTTCGATCCCCAGTACCAAAAAAAAGAGTAGAGGTCACTCTAGTCACCCTACTTGACCCTCAACAAACACAAAACTTTGGGGACTGCTCTGAAAACCAGTAAACATGATACTTTTCTACCTCTTCCATTCAATCTCTTTCCCATTGTAAAGCGGTTGTAATAATCATACTTCTATTAGCATTCTTATCACACTGAATGACAATACTCCACAAGAATGTGAACAAGTTATTTATAGGTCCATAATCTTTGGCAATGCCAAGTGGGTTCTTTTTATCTTACTTTCTAACCAGCGTTAACAAATGGTTTATAAAACTCATAGCTCAGAAAACGAGCAAGTACTGGGTGGCATAAAACAGAAATTATATGAAACAAAGCCAGTAATACAACAAACATATAAATCACCCCTTTATAGTTATATATGACAGAATTTAAAGTACCATAAAGTTTCCCCCAAAAGGAGACTCCTATACATTTAGTAGTAATAAATCACCAAGAGTCCTATCCTTTTCTCCATGTAAAATAGCCCCTTCACAATCTCTTCAGTAAAATGCCAGAAAGAAATACATACATGATGGTGTTAATGCCTGAGAGCTGTTGGAACATTTGTAGGCCACAACCCACAATTAAAGCTCGGCGAGTTGGGGGATATGTCAGCATTCTGCAGATCACAGGTCCAGCTTTTTTTAAAAAAGAAAGAAAAACAAAAAAAGGACACAACTATTATTTTTAGCTCTCGTAGTAATTATTCCCATTAAGATAAAGTTCCCCAAATCTTGTGACATCAACATGACTGGGCCTTTTAAAATATTACACATATACTTCTACAGAAACCTGAGTGCAATGTATTATGCCTGAAACAAACTTAGGGTTGTTTTTGTTTTTGTTTTTGTTTTTTCAGTCTAAACTTCAAAAGTAGTAAGAGAGAATTCAAATTAAAGCAGTATTTATGGATACTAGGAAAATGTACATAACTAGAACTGTCAGAATTATTCTTCCTTAAACCCCTACCAGCTGTATTTATTAATCATTCTCTGTTCTTTGACCATCTTTGCAATTAAATTTATTTAAAATTTATCCATGTGGGACTTACAAAGTCACTGGCAAACATCCCTGGCCCCAAAATCGCTTTAATCAACAAAAAGAATCCATTTATTACAAACAATTAAACAAGGGACAAAATTCACTCTATTTGACTAAAGCTAAGGAATTTGGGTTTCATATCAGACTTGTGATGGCTACATTGGCTATTATGAATAAGTCACTAAAAAGGTAATATAGGAAAACAGTTAAAGTCAATTTGGGTACACACACAAACATACACATACACACACTCACAGGTCATTCAAAAATATAAAGCGCTTTTGCAAATGGCCCAGATCCCTTGGTATTCACACTGACTCTAGATTGGTCCTGAAAAGCTGTGGATCTGGCCCATGGAGGCCTCAAGTGCGGTGACTGCCTTCACTGATGCCTGATGTCAGGACATAATTACTGAAAACATCCCTTCTGTTTTCCGAAGGGTTCCATTTAGAATGCCAGTTAACTATAGCACATGGGACAAAGCTTTTCTCCCAAGATCTGTGCTGTTCCTGCTGTCAGAGCAAAAGGCTGTAGCCAGGAGGGTGCCAGCTGCTTGATTAGGGACCATGCTTTGTTACTGAAATGCAAACTAAGTCAGGTAAACTGAGACCCAAGGAAGTCTCATTCCTTCAGGAATCTTCTGGAAATTTAGCATTTGCAAAAATGGAACAGAATGTGCTACTGTCTCAGCCACAAATGTGAAAATGTGATGTCAAGCCAGGACATTAATTAGAACTGAGAACATTATACCTCTACTTGGTATGATTACTATCACAAAACTTGACTTATTGCAAATGTTTTTTCTCTCTCATTGGCACAGGTTAATTTAGAGAAGCACTAATGGCATTCAAAGCTAAACAGATGACAACCCATTTAGAAGGTAGGATGAGAACTACGCACACCAAATCACCTTAGAGTCAAGCAAGTTTTCTTAGAGCCATAATATCAGAAAGGGTGTGTGAAAACAGAGAGAGTGAGAGTTTTCTTTGACAATGTTGACATATATCTCCATCACTTTCCTGACAGATGGGCAGGCTCGTGCAAATCCAGCTATCTCTAAGTGAGCCACAAAAGAAGGAACACATACAACATTAGAAAAACATCTGCCATTTCCCCAACATGTGGAGACTTGCAAAGAAAAAAGTCATCATTTACTTTGAGCACCACGGAAAAATTTTAAAATGACAACCAAAGCAAACCCTATCCTAGCTGTCAGTAAGATGCAGAGATGAAAAACTCCCCTCTCTACTTGCAGGAAACTTACTATAATCCGTAGACAATCATATCTACTCTCATTATTAAACTGTTTTATGAGCTGATAAATAGGTCAGGGCATAGGAATTATGGAGGACAGAAAAACAAAGAAAACTATGACAGATTAGGATCAAAGTTTGACTTGCCCTTACATGAAAATATAAGCTAACATACAAACACTATATATTTAGTATTTCCCAGTTTTTAAAAATCTGAGGGGTTTGCCCCTGTTTTCTCTTGTTTGGACTTCCTATTAACAATAAACAACAGTAGTTCCTTTATTAGACTGTATCTTTCTAATGGATAAATTTTGGTCAAAGCACATGTGATTATGCATAAACAAAATTATAGAATTTCCTTTCATTAAAATTATAAATCTACCTTGATATAGCAGCAAAACTGCCTTAACAAATGAAAACTATCATTAATCTTTGTATCACAGAAGCTATAAGCCAGAAAAAAATTAATTAGCTGAATGTTCATAAGTAAAAGACTTTAAAGGACAAGTTCTACTTGTTATATCTGTATTCCTTTTGTAATTAAAAGCAATTTGTGTATAAAAACATTTCATACTTAATTTTCTTTCAAATATTTGTGAGTTTGAAACAGAAATTTCCACGCAATAAAAACTAAACCCTCTAACCAACTAATGTAATCTAGAAATGAAAAACCCAAAATAGACACGTAGTAAAACAGTGGATTCAAGAAACCAAAAGGGATTCGTCTTTTCCTCCTTTCTGAACCCTCATATTACCATGTTGCTAAGTCACCTTGACATGGTTTTCCAAGTGTGGCAGGGGCTCTGGTAGCAGGAATAAAAAAGAGAAAGCCTACCAAGGAGCTATTTCCAATGATGGCTAGTGTGAGTTGAGCCTCCTAATGGCACTCTGAATACAATTAAAAATGTGCTAGAACCCACTTTGTATGAAATCTCAGCTCTTGAGTTCAATTTCCAGCTAAGATGGAGGTCAGACAAAAATGCATTTAACAGTAGTGCTCGTGATACTGGATAATGCCCAATGAAGGGCTGTGACCCCAAGATTCAGGAAACAAATGGAGCAAACCATACAATGGTCCCAGCTGAATGCCTCAAAGAAGTTTCCAGGCTGTAGCATGAGAAGGGGAAGCAGAAGACCTGGTGGTCTTAAATTAAACAGAAGCAGCTTACAGAGCAAAGATGGCACGAGGGGCTGAAGTTCACAGGGCAGAGAAGGAAGAATGAAGATTCAGGGAGAGACTGAGAACTCTGGGGTTTTTTAGAGCCCCCCTGAATACTGATGCTCAGTGCCCCCCAGTGAGGAAAATAGCCTGATAGGGGAAAGAGCCCTAGAAAGAATTAGAGAAATAATTCCCAAGAGCTTATATAGGGTTGGGAAGACAGCTGTTTCTACCAACTGAAGTGAAAAATCTGAAGCATAAGGAAGAGCATTCAGAAGGAATTTTCCTTAGCAATGGTGCAAATTTAATTCTAGATTAAATATCATTTGAGTATCATCTAAAATACATGGAAAGCAAGACTTTGCTTCTACCAAGTATAGTAACTATAACAGATCAGAACGGAGCTCAATATTAAGATAAAATTCATAACATCTGCCATCTTACAATAAAAATTACCAGGTCTTTAAAAGACAGGAAAATAAAATTGTAATGCTAGAGAAATCAATTCTTCAAGAAGAAATATCGATCCTAAATGTTTCTGCATTACTAAGAGCTTTAAAATATATGCAAAAAATGGAACTGCAAACAGAAATGGGCCCACAATTATACCCTAATACTGCATCACTGTCTTCTCAATAGCTGGGGGAGTACAAGGAGTCTGAAAATCAGCAATGATGTGGAAGACGTCAATAACACTGCCAACAAATTTAGCCTAGTAACTGATATTTAAACAGTACTTTGCTAAATAACAGTAGGATACACATTCCTAAAGAGTGTTAGTTTAATGTATCGAAACATTTACCCAAGAATGATTAAATTCTGAGCTGTAAAATTAGTCTCAATTAACATAAAAGAATTCAAATCATACAAAGACTGCTCTTCAGCCATAATGACATTAATATAGAAATTAACAGGTGAAAGGTAGAAGCTCCCCACACTAGAAATAGCAGTTCTAAGGATCAAAGAAATAATGAAAATTAGAAAGAATATGAAAGTATATGAATATACAACACATAAAAATTTGTGACTGGACATAATAGTACACAGCTGTAATCTCAGTTACTTGGCTGCTGAGGCTGCAGGATTATAAATTCAAGGATAGATTAGGAAATTGACCAAGACCCTGTCTTAAAATTTAATAAATAAATAAAGGCTGATGATGTGGCTCAGTGGTAGAGCACTGGTAGTTCAATCACTAGTACTGGCAAAAAGATATTGGGGGGGGGCGCTCTGGTGGGGATTTAGTTCAGTGGTTTCGCTGCCTGCCTTGCAAGCGCAAGGACCTGAGTTGGACCCCCGGTACCAAAAAAAAAAATATTTGGGGGAATTAGAGCTAAACAAAATAGAGGTAAACTTCACATAACCTCAACTTTGACCTGAAGAAACCAGAAAATGTTAAGCAAATGAGTCCAAAGTAAGGACAAGCTAAGAATACTGTAATAATAAAGAACAGAATCCATGAAATAGAAAAGAAGAGAGAGAAGAAAAACTGCCCAAAAGCTGGTTCCTTGATAAGATCAATAAAATTAATATGCTTCCAGTCAGACTGCAATCAGAAGGACAACAGCCCCTCCAAAGATATGCATATCCTAATTCGGGAACCTGTGAAACTTATCTTAAGATGACAAAAAGAAAGGACTTTTAGATATAAAGATTTTGAGATGGGAAAACTACCCTGGATTAACTGGGTTAGCCCTAAATGCAATCACATACATCCTTATAAGACAGTAGCAGGTCCAGACAGAACAGAGAGGGGAAATGCAGAGAACACTGCTATGGTCACAAGCCAAGGAATGGTGGCTGCCTCAAAGCTGGAAAACTCAAGGAAGAAATCATCCCCTAGCACTTCTGGAAGGCTATGGGCCTGGTGACAACTTGATTTCAACCCAGTGAAGCTGCTTTTGAACTTTTGTTTACCAAAACTACTAGAGAACAAATTTCTACTTTTTAAGCTGCCAAATTTGTGGTAATTTGTTACAGCAGCTCAAGCAAACAGATCAGGGAAAATGAGAGAACATATAAATGAAAAATATCAGATATAAGACACCTGAACTCAAAGACACAACAATAATAAGCAAGATAAATAATTTTATGCTATCAAATGTTGTAAGTGCAACTGACAAATTCTGTAAAATATAGAATTTTGCAAAACTCACTCAAGAAAAAATAGCCTGAGGAGCCAGGC